TGCTGCTGCTGCTGCTAGTGCTGCAGCTGCTGTTGCTGCTGCTGTTTCTCTTTTTCTCCTTGCGGCTGTGTATGTCTATATTATGTTTTTAATATATATATATATATTTATTTATTTAATAATATATATAATTATATATATTTATTTATTTATTTATTTAATAATATATATAATATATATATTTAATAATATATATAATATATATAAAGTCTTAGAATTTTTTGTTGGTTCCTCTTGTTTGTTTTTTCTTTGTCTCCGTTTATTTGTTTTATTTTTTATTTATTATTATTTTATTTATTTGTTTTTATTTATTTATTTATTTATTTATTTATTATTTGTTTTGTTTGCTGTAGATTTGTTTGAGGTGTATATCTTGTAGAAATTTTTTTTTGTGTTTGCTTTCTGATATATAGAATAAATAAAGATAAATTTAATGCAATTGAATAGATATGATATAAATATAATTATTATTTATGCATTTAAATAATATTGTGTTTGTTTGTGCTTGTATTGACCTCAGCTTAGACTCGTCAGGAGACAGCTCAAAAATAGCAGCACTTGAAGCAGCATTTGGACGCTCAGCTGTCTCTGCACCTCGTCTAGGAACGAGAAGAATGTATATATTTTTTTCTTTTTGTTTTATATTATTAGTATTATTATTAATATCATTGATAATAATAACATTTAAGAAGGCGAATGTACTTGCAGGTCTTCTAGCTGTCTTATCTCTCTCTCTGTTTTCTCTTCTTTCGTTCTTCTTCGCCTCTAGAGGTATAATGCAACTTATTATGAAGCAAGCAACAATTCAAGCTGAGATAGCTTTCAGAAAACATAAACCTAACGTTATCGTCGCTGTCTCTTACGGGGCTGTCGTCGCCTTACAAATGGATGTGCCGAAGGTTGCTCTTGTAAGCTGTTTTATTTTTATTTTATTTTTATTTTATTATCATTACTATTATTATTATTATTATTATTTATTATTATTATTATTTTATTATTATTATTAATATTATTATTCTACAAATGGATGTGCCGAAGGTTGCCCTTGTAAGCTGCTGTCTCTCTTTTTATTTTTCTGCTGTCTCTTATTCTTATTTTATTATTATTATTTATTATTATTTATTATTATTTATTATTATTTATTATTATTATTATTATTATTATTATTATTGTGCTGTCTCTTTACCTAAAGTTGCGCTGTAATCTTTCGTCTCTTTCTTCTTTCTCTCACTATCTCTTCAAATAAACAAATAAACAAATAATAAACAAATAAACAAATAATAAACAAATAGACAAGCAGATAAGCAAATAAACAAACGCATGCATCATATATAGCTATATATATATATATTTATTTATTTATTTATCTATTAATATTTTTTTGTGTTTTGTTTGTGCAGGTATTGCTAAGCCCTGCAACAGACGTATATTTTCGTCTATTACAGATGCGTCCAACGCTAACTTTACGAGAGCATCCCTATTCTATATTAATTAATGCAAGCAAAGACAGCGTAATACCCTTAGACGATTCTATCCGGCTTGTAGAGACAGCAGACATAGGAAGCTGCAGATTAGAAGTTGTAGACGACGATCATACCTTCAACTCGTTAACTTCTGAAGATTTCAAGTAATATTTTTATTATTTTTATTATTCTTATTATTGTTATTCTTTATTTTTATTATTATTACTTTAAAACTCTATTATCTGCATGCATGCATGCATGCATGCACCGCACTCTTCCTTATACTCATGCTGCTTATAATGCTGATAATGCTGATAATGCTGCTAATGCTGTTGCTGCTGTTAATGTTGCTGGTGCTGCTAATGCTGCTAATGCTGCTGCTGCTGCTGCTGCTAATGCGCCGTATGCTGCTGCTTCGGCTATTGCTGCTCGTGTTGCTGCCGCTGCTCATGCTGCTGATGCTTTGTGTGCTGCTGCTGCTTGTACTGCTGCTGCTTCTGCTGCTTATGCTGCTGCTGCTGCTGCAGTGTTGTTACCACTCGTGTGCATATTCTTAAAGATATTTATTTATTTATTTATTTATTTATTTATTTATTTATTTATTTATTTGTTTGTTTGTTTGTTTTTAGGGGATGGGTTGAGGAAGCTTATCAGAAAGGTGCAGAAGCAGCAGAAAAAGATGCAGCAGAAGGAGGCAAGAAGCACTTTGATGTGTCTCTCTTTGTTGCGAATTCTGCTGCAGCAGAAGAGAGCAATCAGCAGCAGCAAACCACCGAAGTCTGAGGTGAGACAGTGCATAAAACAATGTAATTATTGTAATATAGACGCATTATACACACTCGCATTACTTCTCTTGCCTCTCTTTGTTGCTCTCCTTTCTTCAAAGGAGACAACAGCAGCAACAGCTGCAGCAACAGCAGCAGCAGCAGCAACAGCAGCAGCAGCAGCAGCAGCAAACAAGCAGTTACAATTTATCATTACCTGTTCCAACACAATATGTGCATGCAGATGCATGCATTTGCATGCACTTGTATTTCAATTGCATGTACTTATTTGCAGGTATTTGCATGCATGCATTTGCATGCATGCATTTGCATGCATTTGCATGCATTTGCATGCATGCATTTGCATGCCTTTATGTGCATGCATTTATTTGCAGTTATGTGCACGCATTTATTTGCATGCATTGCAGTTGTTTGTATGCATTTGCATGCATTTGCATGCATTTGCAGATGCATTTCAATTGCATGCAGTTTATCGTGCATGCATTTGCATGCATTTGCATGCGTTTGCATGCATTTGCATGCGTTTGCATGCATTTGCATGCATTTATATTTATTTGCATGCATTTATATGCATATTACTCTGCATGCACTTTATTTGCATGCATTTATTTATTTATTTATTTGCATGCATATAATTTATAAATAAATACAAACGCAGGAGACACCACAACAATATCTCACTGTATTATTTACTCATTGCTGCTGCTGCTCTTTTTGCTGCTGCTTGCTGCTGCTGCTGCTCTTTTTGCTGCTGCTTGCTGCTGCTGCTGCTGCTGCTATTGCTGCTGCTGCTGCTGGATATATACAGAGTCGGCGGAGACAGACAACTAGAAAAATACAAACAAAAACTATTTAAAAAGAATAAATAAAAAATATACAAAAAAGTTAAATAAATAAAGATAAACAAAGAAATATATAAATAAAGAGAGACAGAGAGAGATGAAGAGACAGCAAAAAATAAATTAAAAGGAGACAGAAGAAGAGACAAACAAACAAAGAAAAGAAAAGACAAATAGAGGGGTGTATAGGTTAGGGTTTACGGTTTACGGTTAGGGTTTAGGGTTTAGGGTTTAGGGTTTGGATGTTATCGAAATTTGTCTAAAAGGATAGAGAGGGTTTGGGTGTAGAAGAACTTCATAGAATGCATGCGTCCGTCTGCTGCTGCTGCTGCTGCTGCTGCTGCTGTTTTGCTTATGCTGCTTTTGCTTTTGCTGCTCGTGCTGCTGCTCCTACAGCGGCTGTTGCTGCTCGTGCTGCTGCTCCTGCAGCTGCTGTTACTTCTGCTGCTGCTGCTTCTGACGTAGCCGTTGCCTCAAGAGGAGAGGGCTTCTGCTGCAGCACTACGAGGGTTCGCCCCCCACAACCCTAAACCCTAAACCGTA